AGTCGTCAAAAGTCTTATTCTGACAAGAGGCATCGTGAGTTAGAGTTCATGGTTGGTGATAAGGTGTTTTTGAAAGTTTCACCAATGAAAGGAGTTATGAGGTTTGGTAAGAAAGGGAAACTTAGCCCTAGATTTATCGGACCTTGTGAAATTCTAGAAAAGAAAGGAAACGTGGCTTATAAGCTAACGCTACCCGTTGAGTTGTCCTCTGTTCATCCTGTCTTTCATGTGTCTATGCTTAGAAAGTACATTCATGATAAGTCGCATATAATACCTGCCGATACCATAGAAATTAAAGAAGGTTTGACTTATGAAGAGGTACCTATAGAAATTCTCGATAGACAAGTAAGTTGAGGACAAAAGATATAGTATCGGTAAAAGTTTTGTGGAGTAATCATGATTCAAAAGAAGCTACGTGGGAGGTCGAGGAAGAGATGAGGAAGAAGTATCCTTATTTATTTGAGTAACAAGGTATGTGAACCTAGGTTTGGCTTGACATTTATATTTCATTTATTAAATACAAGTTAGCAAGTGTTTATGTCCTTCCTAGATTATATTTAGTTGTTGTAGTGATTTAGTTTACGTCAGAGTATATTTAATTCATTAAAGTGATTTACTTTTGCTAAAGTGTTGAGCTTTAGATAATTGTTAGTTATTGTGGTACCTCCTTGCCGGAGTGTGAGTAATTAATTTATGGGTTGTGTATGGTGCCTATGAATGGCCTGTTATGGTATATTTGATGGTTGTTGGTGTAGTTGTGGTATTTGTGACAGGGATATTTTTTTTGGATAGTCCAATTTACAAGGGAAACTCTGCCGAAATTTTTGAAAATTTAGGGAGTTAGCCAAAATGTTGAGTCTCTTGGAAAAGTGAGTAGTTCTAAGAAAACTTAAGAGGTTCAAGGACCTAAGAATTGATTGTTAGCTTAAGAATAAGGCCCTAGCAACATTCTAGGACGAATGTTTTTAAGGAGGGAAGATTGTAACACTCCTTATATTAATAAAAGTTTCGAGACACGCTAATTATATAATTACATTATTATTATTATTATTTTTTTCTTGCCTATAGTGAATATATATATATATGTGTGTGTGTATGTATGTTTGTATACACACACTTAAATAATTGGATATACAATTAGAAAAATATTAATAATTTTAATATTATTACTTATTAAAAGTGGGTATCATTAATTATTAGTTAAGTTAAAAAAAAAGTTAAAGACTTAAAATTGGGCTTAAAGCCCATAGAATAGGTTGGACGTAAGATGAGGAAAAAGGCTTAAAGCCTGGCACGAAAAGGGGGCAAAGGAAGTGGGTTTCAAAGAAATACAAAGCAACAATTCAATAATTAGACTAAGGGCAGAGACGAAGCAATAAGTTCCAGTGACCATTCACGCAGACAATCCAATTTCGAGGGTTCTTTACAATTCATTAATTCTTGCACTCAGGTATATAAAATTTCTTATTGTCAATTACCCTACAGTAGTAATAGGTAAGAATTGAATAGTTAATTCCCTTCTTTCTATATATCAATAGTAAATCCATGTTTAGGTGTGAAACTTTGAAATTAATTAAAATGCACTGGTTGTTGTAGAATCAATTATTTGACGGGTATAAATTGGACTGGGGTCTACATATTGGCTCAAGGAGTATTGAGGTGAGTTGATATAACCCTTTACTAAAGTGGTTTAACTCACAAAAGCATGCACACAAGGTGTTTGATGAATTGCATAAAAGAGTTAATATATACTTAATGGGAGTAGTAAGTACCTATTAGCTTAGAATTATTTTCTAGCTAAAGTTTAGATGATTATTTGGATCTATGTGCATAAATTTCAGATTTTTATGTTATTCTTATATGCTATTTTCATGTTGAAAACTCATGAAGGATCAAGAACCTTTATAAATACTTTTGTATGTTTATTTCATTCTTATGTCATGCCTTACATTTAAGGATACCAGTATGAGTATGTATAAAAGATTTAGACTTGAAAAGTCACAAGAAGTTTTAGAAAGAAAAGATTTTTGGGAAGTATCCTTTATTCTGAGAAGGGGTCATTGTCCAGGCCTAGGGTCCTGACCAAGGCGTTGACTTCCTGAAACTACTTGTGCCAAGTAGGGAGCACACGAGTCGAGGGTCTCGTTGTTGAGAATTTACTTAGGCATGCTAAGGTAAGAGACATGAGCACTGAGAACCATGAAGCGAGTGGCACCTCGTGGATTGGGCCTATTCGATCAGGTTGGGATCGAACCCGTGCCGATCACACGGTGACTAAGACAAAATTAAGTCAGGATAGTTGGAACTCCCAAAGTATAAAGTGAAGTATTTTTTTATGAGCAAGAAAAAGAAAAGAATTTCTTTTAGAATATTCATGAACTGCTATTATGCAATTATTTTAGAATTATTCTTATAAGCTTTATGTTTTACATGCATTTAGAACCTTTGCTCATAATGTATATGTTATTAAAGTTTCGCTCCCTGTTGTTGAGACTCACTGAGTACAATGGATGGTACTGACGTTCTCTTTTGGGAACCTACGTTGGTCTGCGGTACAACGTAGGGACCAGATTTGCAGGCTACGAGTTAGGACTTCCTTCTCTTCCAGTGCTATTGGTGAGCTCCGTTTTTGTTTGTGGAGTATTCCTTAGAGTCATCTTTATTTAGTTATTTCTTTGTTACTTAGAGAACTGGCCAGGAAATCTCATGTCCTGAGCAGTGCGTCAATTTATAAGTTGAGGCTTCATAGACATAGTCGTTGGGTTAAGATTCAGATATTTTTGATAATAACTTAGCAGCATTTTATTGGTTACTACGAATAAAGTTTTGATGTTGGCTTATTTTAGATATTTAAATCATTTAAAAGTATTTGGTTACAGTAGTGTCTTATGGCATATAAAATTTGAGATTATAATAGATTTGATAAGCAGAGATGGTCCGCTCGGTCATGTTTAGTGATCGAGTGCCGGTCCCGGCTTGTTCAAAAAATGGGTCGTGACACAATGGTTCTCATCCTCTCCTACTTTCATGCACATCAAACTCCAACTAATGCTGATTGTCCTTTTCAAACTCCCAACTATAAGGGTTGTCGTGTAGATAAAAATGACATATCTCTCAATGCTCATGGACTCATTGATCATGGAGAAAAGTTCCTATTCTCATTTTCTAGCAAAACCGCTAACATGGCATCCTCATGCACTTTCCAGTCTAGCAGATTTCTCTTCACACAATGGTGTACATCCTCTCCTACTTTCATGCACATCAAACACCAACTAATGCTGATTGTCCTTTTCAAATTCCCTATTATAAGGGTTGTCGTGTAGATAAAAATGACATATCTCTCACTGCTCATGGACTCATTGATCAGGGAGAAAAGTTCCTATTCTTATTTTCTAGCAAAACCACTAACATGGCATCCTCATACACTTTCCAGTCTAGCATATTTCTCTTAACGCTTAGGTTGCTGTGCTATAAGCTGACAAGAGTTTATTTAAAATGATCGGAAACAGCTTCATATTTGTGATGCTGACTATATATATGTAAAAATTGTAGGTACTCTCTAAGTGAAAGGGCAAAAGAACAATGAACCTTTTTGCCTGCAGGCTGTTGTAATGAATGAGTTATATCAGCCACCTGACAAACAAGAATTTATATGAGAAAAGTACATCAAAAAGCAAATATCAAGGCATAAAGTAGAGAGTCAATATAAGTGGATTTCGTCAGTTAAATTATCAGGGAAAATAATAACAAATACACTCATAAATAAGATTCTTACAACAGGGCAATTGGCCTCCCTCATCCACTCGAAGTTCCGGGGATCCACAATCAAGTCATCTGCAGAATAGATAATATATGCAAGATGTTAAGTACCTGCTGCAACTCATCTCCTTACCCGAGTTTGGAACAAAATATGTTTTGTGAAGGTCATAAGTGGAGTAATATACACTCCCTCGTTCCCACCCCAGGACCATTTTGCATCTGTCCTCGTACACACCCTTCATGAAACACATACTTCATCTCTCCTACAGTTTCCAGTTTATAACGGTATACAGTTTCCATTTCTAGCGTTGACCATTAAAAAAACAGCGCAGAAAATTAGTCATAATGTACTTGTATAGCTTCAACTGTTTTCAATCCAGCTTAGATAAAAAACACCGAAAATAACTGTTTGGAGACTTGCTTCCATCCAAATAGACAAAAAAACTAAACAAATTTTTTGCTTTTAATAAATAGGAACATACTAAAGAAAGCTTACTATAGCCAAACATTGTTCCTCTCTCACACACCATGACATTTTGATTTCCAGCCAATCTCACTTTTTCAGCAGAATTTTCCATCACCTGAGAACATTGTAGCATAAATTGAAAATGGATAGAATATACACATGATTGCGCTCAAGATCCTAGTTTATCACGGTTTTGACGGGAGCAAGTGAAAAGAGACCTAGGAAAAAAACAGAAAAGAGGAAGTTACTTACTGAAGGAGCACAAAACTGGCCCTTCTTAATGTTGATAATTTTTCCAGTCTTGGCAGCTGCGACAAGTAGGTCGGTCTGTCATTAAATGCCAAAAAGCAGATCAATATGGCTCAGCAATGTATTGAAATCTGGGACTGAAAAAGCCACAACTTCAGAAACTAAATCAGAGATATCTTTCTGAAAATGAAGATTATGTCTGGAGACCAACCTGCCGACATAAGAAAGCAGGAATCTGAATTATATCTGCAACCCGGCCAACTGCTTCACACTGGCAAAACAGTGTTAGATGCAGTTCATATTGGAAGGGAAACTACTTCTGGACCACCAATGTTCAATGATGAGGTGATATAAAAAATGGATAAATGAATTAAAAATGACATTGATCATAATACATGGATGACAGAACTTCTAATGTTTTTGCATCCTATGTGCTCTGACAAATAAAGAGTCGTTAGAACCAATAACACAGTATGTTTTATGAAATCTTCTCATCCATTTATTAAGAAGGGGAGAAAAACCTAGAGCTAATACCTGCCAACCATAGCACATGAGACATCGTAACATTTTTAGAAAATCTGGAAATGAGGAATATGATACAAGACAGTACTTTTGAGAAAGGGAAAAACCATAAGTTGGTCAATAAGTTCAAAGGAAGAAAAATGGATGAGAAGCAAGAATGATGTACTATATATTTACAGAAGTAAACAAATTTCCTAAGCCAATATTGAATTGCATCATCAATTTTCCAGATCAAAGAGTAAAGCTGACAGAAAGTCTAATTATAAATGGCTGAGTGCCTCTGAAAATAGGCAAACAAACTTTACCTGAATAGATTCATGAACATCAGTAACAATAGGTACATCATATGTTGCTTTAACCTTTTCAAGGATCTGCAAGAAAGGGGAAAATGATAGGTTATTTTTCAGAAGCGCTTCTGCAACAGCAAATGTCATACAAGATCTGGAATAGACATATTAATAATCCAATTTGTGATGTCCTTCTAGAAATTAGAGTGCTTAATTTTCGAGCAGAGTTATGGAATTTTATACCTTCAAGCCTTCGGCCAAGCCAGGACCGCGAAATGATTTAGAGGAAGTGCGATTAGCCTTGTCGAAGCTCGACTTGAACACAAACTTCAATCCAAGTCTATAATTAAAAAAATTGACAACTCATTCAATTACTATTTTATATAAAGGACCTCATATTGGAACATATAATTAAGCAACATGCCCTAGTGTTAAACTAGATAAATGCACAAAATTAAAAATCCACCGAGAAGAAGTTAATACACTCCAAAATTATACGTGACACTGAGAGACAAGAGAGAGTTACTTACTTAGAAGTGGTATCCTTCAAGTGCTTGGCCATGTAAAGAATGTGATCCTCTGATTCAATCACATTGGGACCTGCTAGTAAGAAAAATGGCTCTGCTGTCTGCATTTTTTTTTATTTTTTTTTTGGATTTCCGTTAGCAATTAACCAGTCAGTGTTAAGGAAGAAATCGGAAGGAACAACAAGTAATATGCAGAAAACGAACATTTTTTTAGGAAGATCGGGAAAATAAACGTTGAAATTTCAGACCTTGAGCTGGTTGAAGAGCAGGGTTGAGGAATCCATTTTTGCTGCAAATTTCGGAAAGTAAGCAGTTTGAAGCAAGAGTTCGCCGGAGTGATTTCCGAATGTGAAAGCAAGTAGTTAGTCAGAATTGCCAGATCCAGCTTGCTAGAAGGAATTTGGGCCCGTCAATTTGAAGTCCTAAATGCACAATTGGGCCCATAATTCTTTTTTTCTTTATTTTTTTAAACATTTTTTTTTGTCAAGAATTTTCATCAAGCAGTACAGTTTAGAGCCTAATTACTATACATAATTATGGTTTGCCTAATTATCATTCGTAGCTATTGTTCAATTGTTACCAATTTGTATCATTTGTATTGAGACGCGCAACGAATATGGCCTAACATGTATAAACTGTATTCGTTCGCGCAATAAAAAGAATACAACCAATGCGAAATACAGGCAAATAGAATGCTCTCATCGAGAGTCGAACTCAAAATCTTTGCTTATTAAGTGGGTGCTCTAATTGCTTTCTTCTTCCCGTTTAAAGCAATTAATCTCTTGTTTTAGTACGACAGGTAGATTTGCTATAGAATTTAAATATAGCTATGAATGGTAATTTTTTGAAAGTATAGCTACAAATAATAACTATAATGTATATGTTTGTTGTGTCGCGTATTTTTTCCATAATGAATCCACAACCTTTAATGGGACCAACAATTTTTGATACTTGTTTAGGGGTCAATCGAGTCATTAGTTATATAAAAATTGTAATTGTTAGGGCCTAGGGGCAATCTTCATTGCACCAGAGCCATAGATTGTGATAGTATCATATTATGATAATCTATTACCGCGCGTTATAGTTTGTGAGAGTATCATATGAGTATAATTAATAATTTTCTCTGTTTTATTTTATACGATATTATCGATTAGTCAGAAAGTTTAGAATATTAGTTTTACATACATTATAGGAGTACTACTGATGATTAAAAAAAGCTTAAATTTTAAAATAATACTGTAGTTGAAAAGTTAGTTGGAAAGAAAAAACAACACATCAAAGTCCAACAGTTGACTGTTTAATACTATATTTGAATTTTTGAAAATTATAAATGTTGCAAAGAGCTTGAACAATGTCAAAGTTCACCAGCTAGAATAAATTTGCTCAAGTATATAACACATAAAAACATAACTATAACTATGCTATTAAAGGAGAAGATGCAATAGTGAGATGTTGAAACAATAAACTTTCTCATTTCTGCATGTATTCATCATAACAGAGATCCATTTACTGACCCAAAAACTATGATTAAAAACAAAACAGTAATCCAGTTTCTCAGTATATTCTCTTCATCAAAATGTTAAGCTAGAACATTATATCCCATAAGTTCTCAAATCTCAAACCCAAAAAAATATGAAAAACAGAACAGATATGTCGAGCATTAATTTCTCAATAGGAAATGCTCTAGTTGAATTAGAACTCCTCCAACCATCAATAAAACCTCCACCTCCTTCAGGAAATAATAATGGCTTTGGCTTTGGCTTTGGCTTTGGCTTTGGCTTTGGTGGGATAGGTGCAACAGTTTCAGTAGGCACAGTATTGTTCTCTGGAGGAGAGAACACAGGATCAGCACCGTAAACGGAATATTCAAGAACTTTATTAACACCATGTACTGTAAAAGCAGAATTTACGTAAACATCTGGGTACGTGATTTGAGAGCCATCGACAGTAAAATTGGTTAAAGAATTGTTTGTAATGACGATGAATTTGGAAGGTAAGAGAGTTGGGAGGCGAGTGTTGGATTTGAACTGTTGGAGATCGGCGAAAGAGAGGCGTTGTGGGACTATATGATAGGCAATGAGAAATGGGTCTAAGTTGATATTTTGATCGCCAGGTGTTTGATGATTTGACATGGCGTCGTTGCCTGGGATGAAAAAAGTGGCGGAGAGTGGAAGAGATGATAAGTCTGTGGAGGAAAGCAAATTTGCCCACCCAGCAAAATCCCCTGCTCCTATTAATGCTTCCACTATGTTGTTTAGTTGCTGTTCTTGAATTTGGTGCTGTGTGAGCGGCGGTGGCGGTGGTGGTGGTGGAAATGTGGTGGTGGTGGGTTGTTGATATGGCGGCGGCGTTGTTGGTATCTCAGTTGCTTCATTGTTGACCTTTAAGCTCGATCTTTTCAGTGCTTCAGCTGGAGATTTGTACTCTGTTTTTTCTGGTAATGATTTCAGAATTGCAAGATCGAAATGGGTATCATTCAGATACAGAGGAATGCTGTTGGGTGCAATGGTTCTTCCATTTCTGATCATCATTCTCACTGTAAAAGCAGCATAAATTTATAAAGATAACAGCAAATCTTTTCAAGAATAATGAACAGAAAACACAAGTAAAAGAACCTACATATTTTTTCAGTATACAAATACATGTAGAAAACTACTAGCGTCTAAATCTCAAGAAAATAATAAAAGAAGAGCAAAAAACTGAAATTCTTAACCAGAATGAACAGTGAATAAAACACAAGATCATTTTGAGTACAAAAATGCCTATATTGCTACCACTATATCACAAAACAGAAACGCCACTAGTGTCAACTCAAGAAATCCAAAAAAAAGTAGAGCTAAAAAATGGAAAAAATTCAACCAGAATGAACAGAGAAGATCATGTAATGTGAGAAAACACAAGTGGATTCCAAAAAGAAGCAGTAACAAGTAAAGCCCCATTTGCTTGAAAATCAAAAAGATTCATAAAAGAAGAACCAGAAACTGAAATACGAGAAGGAGCATGCACATAGGAACAGAGAAGATATATTCAACTATAATGAACAGAGCAAACACGAAAAATTTTCAAAAAGAAGAAGCAGAAACTGAATTGGGTGAAAGAACGCACCAATATTGGAGATGAAGCAAAGGTAGAGGAAAAGAACCAAGACAAAGATGGGGATAAAATCAAACAGCCTTAGAGCTCTAACCCTTCTCTGCCTGTGAGGATTATGCATCTGAAAGTTGAAGAAATTGTCCACCATTTTCGTTATCTCTTTTTTTCTTCAGAAAGCCAAAGAGAGAAAGTTCTTGAATCTTGAGCTCTTGGTATCGCTGAAGGATAATGAAATGTTGGGGGGTTTTGTTATATATACAAGACGATGAATTCAGTTAGTTAACAAGTCGGTTCTGTTGGAAATGGCGGGAGACCTTGTTTGTGCCTTGCACGTGCCAAGTTTGTTAAAAGAAAAAATCATTACAACATTTGATATTTTCTACATTTCCATTATAATGGGATTATACAAACTCCTAAGTGATTCTAGTAACCCAAATTCGAGTTGAATTTGGAAGCCAGGTGATTCTTTACAAAATCCCATAAAATTTATGATTGTTTCACTTTGAGAATATTTTTGGAACACACACATAATTCCATGATTTTATTTGGGAAAGTTTAAAAAATATAAACGTTTAAATTTACGTGGAATATAGTAAAATGCTACATTGACTATAGAGAAATGAACTAATCCAGTGAAAATTACAAATACGTCTATGGAAATATTGGAAACTAGGTTTGTGAATCGACTTATTCCTCTTGAATTTGGATAATCAACTTTATATGTGCTTAATTTAAACTTACTTCTGATTAATTAATATATACTCGAGTCAATTATTCATATGGTCACTCAACTTTGTCAAATTATCTCCTAAAGTCACTTTTCTTTCGTTTGTAACAATAAAGTCATTGAACTATGCCTATTGCACTCAGAAGATCACTCAACTAGATTTTTCAAATTTTGGATTGCCAAATACCTATTTTACCGTCTAAATTATAAATATTTATCTTCTTTTATTTTTTTAACTTTTCAATATTATGATTTTTTCTTTTTAATTTATATTATGGACTTACCTATAGAATAAATAAATATTATTTATAAATTAAAAAAATAAAAAGTATTCAAGCATCTATAATCTATAATGTTGGAATAACAAAATAATGAGCATAGTAAAATTAATTAGAATAATTTGTTCGTAATAATAATTTTAGTATTAACAACAAAAATTTAAAAATTTATTTACACAATTCAGAACGAAAGAAAATAAAGGTTGTAAAATATATATTCCATGCATGTAATATAAAAATAATTATTTAAATAAAAGTATTTTTATAATATACATATATATTCTTGAAAATTATGCTCAATTATATTATATATATTCCATGCACGATTTAACATAGTATATTTTACCCTATGCAGATAGTCCCCCTACTTTCCGGTGACATAACTTTATGTCATCGGAAAGTTGATAGAAACATAATAATATAATTGAGCATAATTTTCAAGAATATATAATGTATATTATAAAAATATCTTTATTTAAATAATTATTTTGGTATTACGTGCATGGAATATATATTTTACAATCTTTATTTTCTTTCATTCTGAATTGTGTAAATAAATTTTTGAAGTTTTGTTGTTAATACTAAAATTATTATTATTAATAAATTATTCTAATTAACTTTTTTTTTACTAAGCTCGTTATTTTGTTATTCCAGCATTATACATGCTTAAGTACTTTTTGTTTTTAAAATTTATAAATAATATTTATTTATTCTATAGATAAGTCCATAATATAAATTAAAAAGAGAAAATCATAATATTAAAAAGTTTAAAAAAATAAAAAGAAGATAAATGTTTATAATTTAAAGGGTAAAATAAGTATTTGGCATCCAAAATTTGAAAAATCTAGTTGAGTGATCTTCTGAGTGCAATAGACATAGTTTAGTGACTTTGTTGTTACAAACGAAAGTAAAGTGACTTTAGGAGATAATATGGGATAGTTGAGTGACCATTTGAGTAATGGACTTTATATACTCTCACCTCAATTTGTCACTTGAATGTAGCAAACTGATAATATGTTAAATCCTGTCTCTAATTTGGATAATTAACTTCTTTTAAATTTGGTTAATCAACTTTACATGCATGCCCTATGATACTTAGTTATGGTTAATTAATAGTACATACTATCAAGTATCACCATAACACCAAGTTTGAGGAAGTTCTTCCCAAGTAAACACACCCTAAATCTTTTACTAGCATATTATACCAAAATAAAATTGACTCTTGTCACGATCCGATTTAGGATCGTGACGGGCGCTTAGGAGCAAGTGCTCCCAAGTAAGTCTCATTTATATTTTAC